TAGGTATTTTCAACCATTCAGTTATATATGCATCAAAAAAGGAATGAAAGAATAGATTCAAAACTTAATAGTACCTCTCTGTAGTTGTTTCACTTGCAAATTTCTATGTTCTGGACTTTGGAAATCTGTATTTTACTATTTATTCATTTATATTTATGTATCCCATTTTTATTTGTTCTTTTTAGATATACGTGACAGAGAGTGTACTTTGACATATTATACTTATTCTAATTAGGATTCCATTCTTGAAGTTCTACATAATGTGGAGTTTTACTGGTTGTGTATTCACACATGAATGTAGGAAAGTTATATCCTATTCATTCTTCTGTCTTTCCTAGTCCCACCCCCACTTACCTTCATTCTCCTTTGTGCAATCCAATGAACTTCTACTCTCCACTGCTCCCCCCACCCCCCATTATGTGTTAGCATCAGAGAGAACATTCAGCCTTTGTTTTTTAGAGGACTGTATTATTTCACTTAGCATGATAGTAGGCTCAGCTTGCAGAAGACCTCTTCCTGTGCTGGGGTTGTAGCTCTGTGGTAGAGCACTTGCCTAGCACATGTGAGGCAGTGGGTTTGATCCTCAGCACCACATAAAAATAAATAAATGAGATAAAGGTATTGTGTTCATCTACAACAATATTTTTTTCAAAAAAGACCTCTTCTTCACCCTATAATTAACCATCTCTAGGTGAGATCTAGCAATGCCTTTCTATCCCAGCTACTACTCCCAAACATGTGCATCACCCATTGATGCTTACCAGATACCTGACTTGAGCTCTTAGCTTGCTGTACCACTGTGAAAGTTGTGAAAGGAAGGATGGAGATTCCAGATTCCAAAGTATCTAGAAAATTGGCCCTATCCTTGAGGAGAACAAAGAGGAAGATAATCTGGAAAGTTCCTACAGCTGAGAAGAAATATGTGCTTTGTCTGAATAATGAGTGCTGTTAACCATGGGGAATGGAATAAACCAAAGGACTTGGGAATGTCATTCTTAAAAGACTAGTGTGAGAGATAAAACAGTATTGATAATTTAGTATAAAAATATTCTAAAGCAGATGGTTTTGTAATTGGTATTTTTTTTAGACACATGAATAACTGCCTTGATATTTAGCAGACACAGATTCATTATTTGGTAAGCAATTGATTTTTTCTTAAAATGAAATCATCCATTCCATAGATACAAATCTCATATATCTACTTCTCAGCCAAGATGTAACAACCTAGAATCAAATTAGATTGCTTTATGTCTAATGTTCAAACAAATGGTATTAAAATATCACAAGTCTGAGCAAGTATTTAAATTGTACTTGAAGCTTCTGTTTTTCCTATGTGCATCTTAATCTGTGACTGGATGGAGAAATTTGGGGATGAAATGGATTTCCCATGAAGTTGTTTTGGGTAGGTAAATGATGACAAATCTTTCTAACCTTTTTCTTTCTTATGAATGTTCGTCTGTTTTTCATCATCCACCTATAAGTAGAATTTTAGTTTACTGTTGATTACTAAAACAAGTGTATGTTCAGATAAAGGGATATGACTTTTATAGAGTAGTTCACATAAAGTTCATAATAACTTTCCAGACTTCCTCTGAAATATACGTAAACCAGGATTTATAAAGCTCAACTACTGAATTTATTATTGAAAACAAGTACTCCTTTTGTTTTTAGGACAAAAATTTGGCTGTAACCCAAATGCCTTAATAAAGAAAAAGCTGAATGCAATATGATCTGACCATCATATAGAACTTATACAGGAATTTAAAATACTTTTTTGAGTTGACCTGGAGAAGTTTCCAAGTTAAGATAAGTTTAAAAATATATACATAATAACAATTATGACATTATTTTGTTTTTATTTTTAAATTTTATTTAATTTTTTAAATTTTATTTTGATCCTATGTTTATGTTATATGTATAAATGCATAGAGAAAAATGTGGGAAAACACACCTGTTAGCAATGGATATTGGTGTGAGGGGAAACTAAAAGAAATGAGTGAGGAGATGAGTGGGTTTTCTTTATATGTCTCTAGATTCTTTGATTTATTTAAAAGAACATGCATTACTTTTACAATAAAAATCCAATATGAAATACAATTAATATAGTAAGGCTAGCAAAAGCAAAGCCTAAAGTAGGAGTTGTTTAACCAGTCCTCATACATGTTTGTGCATTAGTTGTCAATTTTTTCAGCTTTATCCAGATACTGGCTGAGTAGTTGAGTAGTTGACTAAATTGCTCATGTTCTTTGTGGATCAATGATCTCCAGTTCACATTTTCTAACCTAACAAATTGTTGGGCTTTGTGCTTTTTACTACCTAATTTCTTCACTTGACTTCTTTAATTTTTACTTTCTAATTTCATTGTAAAAACTAGACTCCATATTACAGTCAATCTACTAGTGCACTCGAAGAGGAACTTAAGCTCAAAGACAAATTCATAGATTTTTTTTTAGGGAAAAAGATTTTTAAGACTTTATGTTTCAAAAGACATTTCCCCATGAATCAACCCCAGGAGAAAATCAGAACAACTAACATTTTACCTAACTGGTAATGTTATGTACCATTCTTAGGTACAATTTCAAAGGGAAGTTAGCACCATACTCATTTACCAAGGACCCCTTCTTAATTATAATAAAAGTCTGTGTGTGTGTATGTGTCTGTCTGTCTGTCTGTCTGTGTGTACATGCACATAAAATCAGAAAGGACGTCTTGGTTACAAGATTTATCCTGCCAGTCAACAGCCAAGTTAATTCAGGGGAAAAACAATAATATCAGCTTTTTCTTAACAAGAGGAAGTACATGAAAACCTGATTATATAGGGTCAAGGAATGTTCAATTTGCTATTTTTTAGGGAAGTTCTTAAGGTTTCAAGTCCTGATGAGGTACATCTGTAGTTTTTGTTTGTTTGTTTACTTATTTTAATGCATCTCTTGATGTTTTGTTGATTTTAAATTTTTAATTTAACACCAGAATAAGTCTTTGTTCAATTACATTTACACTTTGGGATTTTGAACTTAAAAAACATAAAATTCATGGCCACAACATCCTAAGACTAGAATCTTTACCTAGGAGCCTAAAAGCCACTAGCCAAAATTCCAGACACTAATTAGGGGAATCATCCTTTGAAATCAGTTGCAGTTCTTCTAAAGAGTAAATCTGCATTCTGATTGTGTGAGACCCTTACAAAGTACCCTAGCTCTTAAGAGAGACGCAAATGGACTTGTCCTTTATTACCTGTGGGATTCTAGGCAAATATGTAGGTGTGTTGGTGTTTCCGTTTTATCCATTTGCCAAAAAGAAGTTGTTGGAGGTAACACTTCTCTTTCCTGAAGTTATACTTAGACTCATGGGATTTGTTCATCTGAATATGCAGAATGACTTCAAGCCTTTTGGTCCCTGGCTTTCAGATCACTAATCATTGAGGTGGAACACCTATAAACATGCTGTTTACTTGAACACTTAGAAAAGTGGTTGTTATTCATGATGGAAATAGGTAAGGAGTAATGAAACGGACTTGACTTTTTTTCCTCCAGGAATGAGCAAAAAAGTGGAGTAAATAAACTATTTTAATGCCAAATCTATGTTGATTCATTTTGCCATCTCTCATTCATATTTTAATCAATAGGAAAAGTGTTCTGAGTCTCATAGCTGTTATCTGTGAAAAAGGGGTACAGAAGTGGAAGAAAAGGACTATAAATAATAACAACCGTTTATTGAGCACTTCAATAAACATTGCGTTAAAAAGTTTGAGATTATCTTGTTAAAACTTCCCCACAAATCTCTAATATCTATTCTATAATTATCCTCATTTTAGAAATGAGGAAAATGAGGCTGAAACACAGAAGTAGTGATTTAGCCCAGGTTCCCATCTACTCATTGACAGAACTTAACAATTAATAATTAGAATCCTTCAGCATTCCAAGTTAGCTGAGAAAGTCCCAGTTTACATCTTGATTCCTAAAGTAATTAACTGTATCTTCTTAACATTTAAAACATGGGTTAAACAAATTATATTGTCATTCTGTCGCAAGGTTTTTCAATCTTGACATTTTGGGCTGGAAAATTACTTGTTGTGGAAGGCTGTCCTGTGTATCATAGGATTTTTGATAGCACCCCTGGTATCTACCCATTAGATGCCAGTAGCAATGGCCGCCACAAGTAATAAAGATTACAATGTCCCCAAACATCTTCAAATGCTCCCTAGGGGTCGGGGAGTGGAGGACTGCTCCAGGTTAAGAACCATTATTGTACCTAAAGCCTATGCTAATAAAAAATTGAACTATACAAGGTCAATATAACTTATTTGTTATAGAGCATGTTCTATGAACTGAACCTACTCAGTAGAGTAGCATATATTCTATGCTCAATAAAAGTTAATTTCAGGTGCTTCTCACTCTCAAAATGGCCCACATTCTCTCTTGAATATGTAGCTCTTTCTTTCCCTCCAAAGATGTCTCTCTCTTGAGATGCCCTGCATTCTCCCTTTTGAATGTGTATTAGCTTTCCTAAATAAAGCTGTCTCTTAAAAAAACAAAAAGTTGATTTTATAAGGCATTATTTGACTTTCCAATTATAGAGAGCTACAAGAACTATAATGATCAAACTGACTGGAGGGGCTCTAGTAATAAAAAACATTTTGATGTGATTCCTTTTTTTCAGTGCTGGGGATCAAATGTAGGACTTTATGTATGCTAGGCAAGTGGAGTACCACTAGCTATAATCTCAGCCCTGGTCTGTTGCAATTCTTATTAAGAAGACTGAAATAATGTGAAGGGAAGTAATCAGCATCCTCCTGGCTTCCCATTCTAATAATATTATAGAGTTTTGTTTTTTTTTATTCCATTGATGTTTTACCCCAGTGATGAACATAAAAACCAATGTAATCGCCAGAGGGTGTTACAGTAAGTTTGATACTATGGCAATCTTCTTCAGTAATAATAGCTCATGATAATCAGTGTTCTATTTTTCCTACCCTTATACTTAGAAATGACCACCATTTCTTTCATACCACCAGTTTCCATTTATTAGCAATAACAGAGGAAATACCAATAGCACCAATTAAAAATGAATCCACATGACGTGTTTTATCCTTACAGCTGTAATGGACTAGTAACTAACATGGATTGGAAAGCACTTCACAAATTTAAAAAGTGCTGTACAGATACATTATAATTATCATCATTAATAAATTAGCCCGATTCTCCTAGTTCAAAAGGCACGTAAGGTCAGTTACATGGGCTTCAGTGGGGCAAAATGATCACAACCTACAATGTAGCAATGGTTTACATGTGTTGGCAACAAGTTTTACCCCATGCAATCCTGCAGAGCTGAAGTTACACACCCTTCAAAATATGGGAGAATGAAGCTAAAAGTAGACAAGACAGTTTTTTTTTTTTGTTTTTTAGATTTAATGCCTTTTTTTCTATGACAGACTCTTACTTCCTTTATATTACCTTTTAAATATAATCAAACTTGTAAATCGTACATAACAAAATTAAAATGTGTTATTTAAGGTAACAGTAAATTTTATTATTTTCTATGAGCTGATATTCCAGATAGCATTAGAATTTCAAGCATTCTGCAACTTCAAAGAGGTCAGATTGGTAAAATTTGTGCTTGCACACCTTCAGGGAATATCTCCAGTATTCATTCCAGAATTGTTACTAGAAAAAAACAGCTTTATCCATTCCCTTGCCAGAGGAATCTTGGCAAGAGCTAGCTCTTGGCTGACCATAAATAAAATTCCTTGAATCACCAGTATCTTGATTTAAGAAAGAAATTTTACTGTGTCTTTCATACACAAAAGCGGATTAACAATGGTTAAAAAAACACTACTCCACTTTTTCACAGGTGTACAAAAGGAAATATAATGGAATTACATTCAACAATAAAGCTTAAAGTTCACTCTAGGTAATAGTTGCATTAACATTCACATACACAAGCACAGAGTAAGTATATTTCAGGAGTCTTATAATAGCATACAGCATACATATGGGAGATTGATTTCAGGTAACATCATAGGTGTTAGTAAGATTAGCAATTCAGAGTGTTATAGAAAAGGATAACTAAACCAAAGAGAAGGTGTAGGCTAGCACACCAAGACAAGTCACAGAATTAGAGGATTGAAAAGTCTGCTCACTGTATGTATGCGAAAACAGTATTTTTCTTCAATTTCTGGGTCTTGATAGAGTTGGTTAGAGAAGGTTGTGTATTCAAAGTGCACATCATTTTTTCTTAGAAAAGAGAAAGAAAGATCCTTTTATTTAGTAATTAATACATGCAAGAGGCAGCCCCAGAGTGACCTGAAAGAGTAAAGCTGTGATTGGCGGGTGGCCGGTATAATACAGATGTTTCAGGCAATTCTCTTAAAGCACTTCTGTAGCAGCAATGATCATTTAAATGGCTGTAGACTGAATTCTCTTTTGAGGGGAGTTTAGGGGAAATATTCATCATATTTCTCTTTGAAGATTTATAGTTATAGACTTTCTCTTTTTTAAATAAATCTATCAAATAACAAACAGCATAAAATGAGGTGTTGGGTTTTTCTTTTTTTCTTTTGCTTTTGCATATGTGTTTGGAAAAGGATCTGGCCTTTTCATAAACATTGTGTGCAAAAGAATTTTTAATAAAGTGAGCACAAGGACATATACAGGAAACACATCAGATCTGCTTCTGTTGCCCTGGTTGACCCTCTGTTAAACACTGAACTGTTTGCTTGTATGTATAATGCAGGTTTTAGGTACAAGGACACCATAGCAAACAGACTTTAGGAACTCCTAAAGCCTTGTCAGTGGGGGAAAGTTTTGTCTGCTAGAGGTTGGCTACTACCTCTTGAGTTATAAAATTTAGAAAGTCTGGTTTCTTCAGTCTCACATTTCCCCTCCAGACTGATAACTCCCACTGTTTACTTGCCTTTATTTCCCAGCCCTTTTTGTGCAAATAGTCTAATCTGACCCACCTCAGCCAATATCTGGCACTGAAATATCTGCAGTGGCCACAAACACTCAAGCTGCTCAATCTCAAAATCATTCAGCCTGCCCTGCAAGTGTCATCAAGACAGGATCCCCGGAGCACAGGGCAGAGAGTCCAACCTCTCACTGGCGGGACTGGGATGCTTCTCCTTTGCGGCGGAGGAGAAAGGAAACTTGGGTCTGCTTTTTAGGTTCTGAAAACAAGCCAGAGTGGAGAGAAAGAGTTAACACCAGACTTAGGAAAGCTTTTAAGACAAAACCTGTAAAATTTGGTCTAAACATATACAGGGGAACTTTCTGCAGATTTCTGAGGTCTCTAAGAGGGCTCATGTTGATAGGAGAAGGGAGCAGGGAGTTGCTACATGGGAAGAGATTTGCCATTATTACAAAAACTGGCTAAGTGGCTTGTTTCCATTTGAGGACCTCACTGGTCACTGTTGTCAGTCGTGCTGTTCCCTTTCTCCTTTTTCTCCTGGGTCTTGTTGCCCTTCTTCTTTTTCTTCTTTTTCTTGGTCTCCTCCTTTTTGCCGAAGGTTATGAAGTCACTTTTATCAATTTGGCTGTTAGTAGGCTCCTGCCGGATGGAGATGATCGCAGGAGATCCTGGGATAATGAATTTGTCTGGCAACTCACCGGGACCGGATTGTTTCGGGTTGCCGGGTCCGTATTTAAAGGTCCAGCTGTTGCTGTTGACTCCAGCACCGACTGGAGGGGACACCTCTCCTGCCTCTGGTTCTGAAAGACAAAATGTCAAAAAAATCAGTAAGGGTCAACATAGGCCCTTGAAGCCACTCTACTGGGAGAGAACAAGAAAAGCTGTACAGACAGCTGGGTCCCCAAGAAATTGTGGGTTATTTCTTGAAACCTGAGGGGAGGGCCAATGTTTGGAAATCAGCAGGATGGAAGATTTTTTTCACCAGGGTGTCCAAGAATTTAGTTTTCTAGTAACATATTTTTTATTCCTTGTGATGAATTTCCTAAACAACATGATTATGATGATCTTACTCATCTTACTTACTTAAATACAAGACAAGAAATATATTGGATTAAAACAGAAAATGCAGCTTTTGGTGCACGGATTAGAGAAAACTTTTGCTACAAATGTATTTTGATTTGTACTCTACCTAAAACATAAATAAACTTTTAAACCAATTAGTCAGTCCTAATCCTATTGTAATAATCTTGAGAGGTGGTGGGATGGAACAAACAAAAGATGGGAAAAAGTGGAATATAGATAGATACTGCACCACATAAGAGAAGGGAATCCTGTTGTAAAATGGTCTTATTTGTTTGGATAAAACTTGGGAGCCAATCTCACTTTCCAAACCAAGTCCCCTCCCTCAGTGTGGTCACAGTCTAGTTGGGACATACACTCAAGCAATTATAAGTCAGTCTAATACATGGAACAACAATGAATTCATATAGTGGGACTCCAGAGAAGAAAATTCACTCATTTTACTTGAGAAAGGTAGGGGGATCTGAAAGAAGAGGTGAAAATTGCACTGAGCCTAGGGGAAATGATTATGTACCCATGGGGGTTTTCAATACAAGACTTTCCCAAGAGTCTAGTTGGAAGACATACCACAGAGTCAGGGCAGAAAAGAAGAGTAATGGCATGTCAGGGCAGAGTATCCCAGGAGTCACGACCCTGGAACTCTTTGACATTGCAGCAGTGTTTATGTATCTGATGCTGCTCCTTTGGTGGAGATGTGAAAACTTCTTCCAAATAATCCGTTTATGTTCAGTTGCAGTTTGGTACTATCTCCATCTGCTATTTCCATGTTTTACTCCCTATCACTTCTCAATGTCCTCTAATTATCAATCATGTCAAGCTTACACTATATTATTTCCAAAATCAATGGTCACATTTTAGTCCTCACCTTACTCAACCTCTTAGAAGCATTTGTCATTTCCTTCCTGAAACACTATTTCTTTGTCATATAGGAGAAGAATAACCCATAGGTTCTTAGTTGGACTTGAGAGCTCTGTTACACAAGACAGATTAACAAGAGAAATCAAACAAATTTATGAACATGTATGTTTCGTATGTACATAAGAAACACCCAGGGAAGTAGTAGTTCTCAAAGAGGTAGCTTTGAATTTCAGCTTACAGCATCTGCAACAAAGAACAGTAAGCTTTTAGAGAAGTGACAAAACAAAGAAAGAGGACTTTGAGTCCCTATGGGTAGCAGCTTGAGGCAAGGCAAATAAATGGCAGACGAAGACTGGTTGGTAAAGGTTGTTAACATAGACTCCGCTGGGACCACCTCCAAGCTGAATCCAATGGTGTCCTCAGTGGCTAACCTTTGTTTTCCCTGGCAGAAGGTGGGGGAAATCTTTTATCTTTGTAAATCTATGTTCAGCTTGTAGGAAGACAGAAGGAAGGCAGAGAGAATTCGTGCATTTACTACATCTTAATTGCTTTCAGCTCAATGATCTTCCATACTTCCACCTTCTAGTTCCCCAGAGACAAAACCTTCTCCTGACCTTTCTCTCTGGCTATTCTTCATCAGTTTCCTTTGCAGGATACTCCTCTGGTATGTGTTGATGTTTCCTGAGGTTTGTCCCTAGACCTGCTTCTCTAATTTCTCTCTACTCTCTCCTTTAGAGATCTCAGCCATGTTTAGGGGTATAAATCCCATCTAAATATGCCAATGAGAAATAGATTTGTATTTCACATCTCTCTGTGTTCTAATATCATATATCTAACTGCCTATCTGATATCTCCAAAGTGGGAATTCCATGGAAATTCCAAACTGAAGGAATTTGAAATCAAACTCTCAATTCATCTTATTTACTCCTTCCTAAACCTTTTCATTTTTTGTATGTGATACCCTATTTACCCCCCATTGCTCAAGCCAGGAAGTTCAGAGTCATTTTTCTTTCTTCTCCATTCTCTATTTATAATATATTATTAACACCTGTGTTTTCTGCCTCCTAAATATATTTTGTCTCTGTCCTCTTCTCCCCATTTTCACTCTGTTAGGACCCACTATCCCTTTAATAAAGTACACCAATAGTTTCCTTCTTGTTCAACCTGCTTCTGTTTTTGCCTCTCTTCAATCTTCCACACAGTAGCCCAAGACATCTTTATTCCTTTAAGTCTTTCTCCCTTTTTAAAAAGGGAAGTATAGCATACGTTCAGTAAAACCCTTTAAAAATAGAAGTTAGATTAGATCATTCCTGTTTAAAATTATTCAGACTTCCTACTGCCTTGAGAAGGAAAAAAAAAAAAACAAAACTCAAACTCCTTAATACAACATAAAACTCTCTTCAATAATCTGATATTTCTTATTTTCCAAATCTCCACATATTCTTTTTATCACTATACTCCAGCCACACAGGCCTTCTTTCAGTTCTTTAAATGCCTCTTGGAGTTTTGTTTTGTTTTTGTTTTTGCCTCAAGATCTTCACACTTATGGTTTCTTTTTTTCTTGAATGTTCTCCCCTCCATTTTTAGCATGAATCCTCATTCTTCAAGTCTATGTTTAAATATAACTTCAGAGAAGCATTCTGTGACCATTCTAGACAAGTGGTACCCCCTTCACCTAGTAATATTTATCACCATAAGGTCTACAGAGGCAGGAAATATATTTGTTTATTCACCAATGTATAACAAGTGTTTAGCAAACTCCTGGGCCTGAACAGGTGTTGGACTATTTTGGACTATTAGACTACTTGTTGGACTATTAGACTAAATACTAATCAGTGCCTAGAAAAGCTTGCAATGGGATAAGACTCTACAGAATGATAATGAAGGAAATGGAGAGGGGAAGCTGGCTCCTTCTCTTGTCTCCAATATTCAGGTGAAGATCAAAGCAGAATGATTGTGGTTATAAAGTAAAGGAGTGTAATCATAAAACATCTGAAGAAACCCACTTGCACAGTGGGTGTGCAACTATCCTATATATTTCCCGTGCTTATAGGAATGGTGCAGCCCTTCCCATTGTATCCTGGCCTGCCACCACTGAAGAGGGCATTAGTAATAAAATGTCCAAACCCTCTCCATGAATCCTTACAGTTTTTTCTTTGGGATAGGTAAATCGTATGCAGCCCTGGGGTTGAACATGGACGAATGAATAAAAGGACTGCTGTGAGAAGTGGAAGTGGCACCTATTCTTTAGCAGACCAAACAACTCTTCACTGATGGCACTTTTGGAGTCCCCACAGACACTGAGGTAATGCATGTAAAGTGTTAAGCTTGATCCTTAGCACAATGTAAGAGCTCCATAAATGGTATCACATATGGCTAACTATATATGGCACAGCTCTTGGGATTAGGAGAGCCAGATAAGGATATTGTGAATTTATAGCATGCAGTAGGGAGAAGGCATAAGCAGCTTTCTTTTCTCCCTCCAACCCTTTCCCTTATACCATGCTTATCCTGCCAGAACTGACACCATAGTAGTTTGGGGATGGGGCAATAGATATATATTTTTTTCCTCTGAGGCTGAATTTTATTTGTCTAAGATAATCAGATCTGCAATTGAACCAAAATCTGCCTATTAATCTTTAAATATGGACCCTTTCTCTGAGAGACTGAGATTAAAAGAAAAAAAAAAAAGAAAGAAATATTTTAGAAAATGGTTAAGATCCTCTGATTTGGTGCCTAAAAGAGGGCTTCAGCATCACCCCACAGTTCTCTAGTTGCTCTCACAAGAGCCCAGAATGAAAAATTTTCCAGCTATATACAGGACTACCTGAGGTCTGAGGGCTGACATTCAAAAAATGCAGAGCTCAGAAATGCCTTCATTTTGTGGAGTTAAAGAACATTATTGGCCAGGTTTATTGGCCTAGGGAGTCCCTCACAGCAAGCCCATCAAGAGTTAATCAATTTCTTTTACATGCCACTAAGCTTCTCAAGCCTTTGCTGGGAGCCTGAGTCTGACTCAGCCTAAATTCCAAGAAGCAATCAGAGATCTATTCAGGTGCATCCTCCACATGTTCAGCTTCTACAGAGCAGAACAAGATGTGGTTTCTTCAGTCCCTCACAGACATTGTGCCTAACATGTTCTGGTTGTTGTCTAAGCAAAATGTCTCTGAGGGCTGGCTCAGCAGCATCTCAATTGTGAATCATTCAGGTGAAAGGATAGCTCCAGAATCTGAAACAGCATTTCCTGACCTCCTAATCTGAGTTCCTTTTGGTTAAGAACATTGAAGAACCCTGGCTAATTTTGCCTATAAAATGTCCTGCCTTTGGGGCAGATTCAAGGACATAATCCCTCCTGAAAAAGATGAGAAGGGAAGATAAATCATTTCTGATGGAATCCAGGATGGAGGTCAATCCCAACAAAAGATCAATGGAGGAAACATTTCTTTTTTCAATGTTGCCTCCTTTCCTCCCTCCAGGGATCTCCTGTAAGTCCCTTCCCCAGTGCTCCTAGGACTTCACTCACCTCAAATATGAGACTGAGATGCAGTCAAGACCCAAATAAGAGCCTAGAAAGAGGATTTATGGCAGACATCAAGCTTGTGGGAATCTGAATCTTTAGGCAGAGCCCTTCCCAGACATTCAGATTAAAACTAATAGGACTTAAAAAGTTTTAGTGGAGTATGATCATAATTTTGAAAAAAATGGTGATGCTTCTTTTGGTGGGGCTAGTATTGGTCAATGTCTTCACAGTGAATAGGGATACATTTAAAAGTCAGAAAAAAAGAAGTACTGGAGAATGAAATTGACCAAATTATGTTATGTGCCTATGTAGAAATGTCACAATGAATCTCACTATTATAACTATTATATATAATTATGTATCAAAAATTTTAAGAACAAAAAGTAAAAATAAACTTTAAAAATCAGAACAACAACATTACAAAGCTCTTGACATATCATATTTCATACATTAGATTGAAGTGGGTTATGAACTCCCAATTTTACCCCAAATGCAGATTGCAGAATCACATAGGTTACACATCCACAATTTTACATAATGCCCAATTAGTAATTGTTGTATTCTGCTACCTTTTGTAATGTTGTGAACAACCAATAAAAAAAATAAAAAATTAAAAAAAAAAGAAAAATAAATAAATAAATAAAAGTTGATCTCCTAAAAAAAAAAAAAAAAATCAGAACAACATACTTTTTTGGGGGGAGGCAGTATTTGGTATTGAACTAAGGTGCTAAGGTGTGCTATATCTCTTAGCTAAATACCCAACTCTTTTTTTTTTTTATAAAGAGAGAGTGAGAGACAGAGGAAATTTTTTTTTTTTAATATTTATTTTCGGCGGGCACAACATCTTTGTTTGTATGTGGTGCTGAGGATCGAACCAGGGCCTCACGCATGCCAGGCAAGCGCGCTACCGCTTGAGCCACATCCCCAGCCCCAACTCTTTTTATTTTGTGTTTTGGGACAGGACCTCACTAACTTGCCCAGGACGGACTCAAACTTGCTATCCTCCTGCCTCAGCCTCCCAAGATGCTGGAATTATAGCCCCGCACAACATGTTTTATTAAAAAACACATATATCTTCATCTTTTACTATAAAAAATGCCCTCCAGTTGTAGTTGGCATGATTACTTCATGTAATCCTATAATGTACTTTGGCCCTGCTCAGGAGTCTTTTTGGCAAAATTCCTAACTTTCCTCTTGCATGTTAAATTAAGCCTGGCTGCCTGAGCTTATGTAGTTGGACCTCAGGGACTAGGACTGATTGGGAATCAAATGCCAGGGAAGGTTCTAAGATTTTGAAGCAAATGACACGCTTGTAAAACTCACCCTGAATCCCCATTCTGAACTGCTCTAGATGATTACCAAGACCAGGAAAGGGTTTTCTGATTTACATGTTTTCTCTTTTTGGTTCTCACTAGAACCATATAAAACAGACATTGTTAACATCTATGTCTTTTATTGATGGACTTAAGACAAATGGTCACATGATTATTAACTGGTGGAACCTAAAACTCAAATCTAGGCAGGCTCCAGTCAAGAGATAATCTTGAGCTGTACAGCAAGGTCCTTGGAAACCCCTGAAACGTAATACAATCATAGCAGTTGTTACGGTTATTAACTGTTTTGTTATTGTCTGGGAGTCACAGAGAGGTAGGCAGGATCCTCTAAACTAGGATCAGTTGGAAAGGAGTGGAGGAGGAGGGGGGAGGGGTGTGGATGAGGGAGTGACAAGTCAGGAAAATCGCAGCACAGTCTCCAGGTTTCAGCTCCGCCCCTTCACTCCCCATTCATTCCTTTGTTACCATCTCTGGGATTTCTGTGCGGAGGTTAATAAAGAGCTTCCAGAAAACCCATCATTTTGATTTAAGCTGGGGACTGTCTTACCAGACAGCACTCTGGAGCCGGCCTACCGCCCACTTCGCTAAGTCAGTGCAGCTAGCAAAAGCTATTACATGATTACAGCCGCTTCCGGCCCAGTCAGATTGCTCCCCTGGACTGCTCCTTCTCTGGTGCGGGGCCTGCTGCTGCAGTCTCCGACTACCCTGGGAAGAATCAGGGCTCTGAAGGCTTTGCAAATCCTCCGTTTGCAAATGAAAAGCCAGAGGCTTTCTGCACGGGGACAGGACGCCTTTACTTTTCCTTGTCCTTGTCGCCTCTACCTTGAAAGCCAACCCCTGTCTGCTTTCAAGCAGCTCTGATTTCCTTTGCACCTTTTGGCTTTGAGCGACCATTTAATCTCTCTGTGTCTCTATTTCTGCCTCTCTTTCCCAGAATTTAACAGATTGTGGAGTTACACATGCATAGCCTGACCAAAGGCAAAAGCCATCCACCCTCAAACCGCTGAAACATCAGGTTGTAAAACATTTTCAACTACCTCCCCACCCCCATCCCATTTGTGGGGTTTGTGAACCGACTGGATGAGCTCCTCCTCCCAATCCTTTATGAATTGGGCAAAGCTTGTCTTAGTAAAAAGCCACAAAATACAGGAGAATCCTGGTCTGAAATCCAAATCCTGTCCTCAATCAGAGAGAGAGAGAGAGAGAGAGAGAGAGAGAGAGAGAGAGAGAGAGAGAGAGAGAGAAAGCTACCAACACCTGGCTTAGCATTTCCAGTGTTTCCCTGGTGCTTCAGTGAACAATGGAAAGAATTTTCCCTGGAAAGAAAGGAATGTAAAAATATACTCCCTGTTCTTTCTAACACCTTAGGCTCTGTAATTAGAATATCTAGGTTTAAGCCCGAGTACATCATGTAAATTATGTTCAGCAAAAGACTTAATGTATCTGGGCCTGTTTTCATCTATAAAGGAAAT